TACTCAAAAGCATTTGCAATTTAAAAGTTATGAAATTTTAGAAAACAATTACTGTAAATTCAATTCTGATGGGATCAAATTACTTTTATTTAATTATTTTTTTAATTAGAATGGTTTTCTGTTTAAAAGAAAAAACGGGAAACAAAATAAAAGAATAAAGACAGAAATTTGAAAGAAAGTTAGGTGGAGAAAATGGGCCAAGGCCCATGGACTCTCGCATTTATATTCAAAAAAATAAACTAATAAAGATAAAAATATATTTCTTTTACAGTAAAAAAAAAAATCATATTTTTATTCCATTCTTACCATTAATTTAAATATATTTTTTCTCGCATTTATTTTCCGTAGTACTCTATAATACCAAATAAGTAATCAAGTTTCCGATAAGTGTAACCTAATTTTGATCAATTTCAAAATTTTACACTTTAGACCATTTTCCGGTTTTTAACAAGTTAATGTATTTTTGTAATTTATGAAAATAGACATTTTTTTTTAAAATATTAAGAATTTGAGAAAATATTGTCACTTTGACATAATTTCGTTGTGAAAAAAAATCGAGTTAGGATAAGTATAAAATATTTTTGAAGTTTAGTTCATATTTTTATACAAATTTAACTTTACGTGAGAACACATTGAGAAGGTGAAGTATAAAGTAGTAATATCTAAATTTATGATCACGAGTGTTAAATCTGTTTTCTCCATTTAACTTATTAGTCTAAAAGACTTTAAAAATTATTATCTATGCTTCAATAATTTCATCCCAACCAATACTAATTGAACCACACGCTCTACAATAATGGTACTCTGATTAAAAAAAATAATCAAGGTTTGTCTAATTAATTAATAAGGATTAGATTGGTGTTCTAGAAAGACAAAAGTTTCAATTTTGTTAGTGATGTAACTCGTGAAAATCTTGTTAAGTATCTGTGCCAGCGTTTATTGACACGTGCGAGGCATTGCTTAACATAATTAATTCATTATAATTTATGGAAATAAAAATATTTTAAAAACAAAAAAGTGGAAAGATATTGACCTGAAAAAGTAGTTAAGGAGGTGAGCTAGGCGGTTTGTGGGCCCAGTTTTGTGGGCCCAGGTTGGCTGTAATAGTCCGGAAAGTGTTCTATACAAAGGGAACTCCTTTCTATTTGGGCTTTTCAATATTTGACAGTGAGCTAAAGTTTTTGGACACAACTACTCAATCCTAGTGCGGTGGGCCCTGTTCCCTGGCCCACTTTGTCTTCTTTCCTATACACATAAAGCAAAAAGCCAAAAATTACACCTCTTTTTTCCCTCTCCCTTTTATTAAAGAATAAATCTCCCTATTCCAAAATCAACATCGGGTCCATCCTCTAATTATTTCTCTTGCTTTTTCCTTTTTTACTCGTAAATTCACACAGCCACAAATTTTCATATTCTAATTAATCTACGTCATGCTCACGTCATCTCTGACATTGACAATCTCTCACAAACCTATCCTTAACACTCTATATAAACTAGGTTTTCGTTTAACCTCATTAATAAAGAGGTATATACATGTACGTACGTGTTTGCATGCACTTTATACATACGTACGTGTTTGACCTTTATACGGTCGTTTTCTCTTGTTGCGACTTAGATTAGCTTGGGAAATATACGTATAAGAACCTTTTAATTAATTAACATTGCTAAAGGCAATATATACTGTCGTTAAACCCGTGTACTGGCTTTTCGGATTTAATCATGTTTTCTTGAATGGATCCACTTTTTTTTCATTATGGAAAAGCTAAAAAAGGACAACAAAAGTAGACATTGCAAAGCAGACATTTTGTTGAAGGTAGATTTCAATGACAAAGGTTAAAACTGTTGAAATAGTTTGTAACTTGACGAAGTGGTGGGTTAATAAAAACATGTGCTTTTTCAAAAGGAAAAAAGAAACATGAAATCAATTTTATGTACTTGTGAACTTAACGAAAAACATTCAACTCATAGAAATTTCATACTTGAATTTACTATTAGTGGCATATATGGATTAAGAAAGGAAGAAAGAAAGAAAAAGGTAAAACAAAAGAGTACAAAGTGTTATGATTTTGTTGGTTGTTTGACATTAAAGAAATTCATGTTAATCATATATGTAAAGGTGACATAAATATTTATAACCAAAACAAAATGATAGTTTCGCATTTTGACTATAAAAGTTGTCTTCTTTCTAATTTGAAGGATCAGAAATATAAGTGAGACTTAAAATTTATGTTCCTTTGCTTTTTTGTAAGTGATATTTATGAGAACGTTATTTTCACTTTTTTTTTTCATTCTTTTACTTGTTCTCTTTTTTCTATTCCAAGCATACCATTGTTTATTAAAGTTGAAAACTTAATATATGAAGATAAAATTAGATGTAGTTTAGGAGTTAGTTTCGTTGCATGTTGCCAAAAACTTGACGTCATTGAAGCAACAATTTACAGTGAAGTTTTTAAAGAACAAAACATTATTTTGTCGAATTAAGAATTCGTTATAAAAATAGTCATACAACTGATAATTATNGCATGCACTTTATACATACGTACGTGTTTGACCTTTATACGGTCGTTTTCTCTTGTTGCGACTTAGATTAGCTTGGGAAATATACGTATAAGAACCTTTTAATTAATTAACATTGCTAAAGGCAATATATACTGTCGTTAAACCCGTGTACTGGCTTTTCGGATTTAATCATGTTTTCTTGAATGGATCCACTTTTTTTTCATTATGGAAAAGCTAAAAAAGGACAACAAAAGTAGACATTGCAAAGCAGACATTTTGTTGAAGGTAGATTTCAATGACAAAGGTTAAAACTGTTGAAATAGTTTGTAACTTGACGAAGTGGTGGGTTAATAAAAACATGTGCTTTTTCAAAAGGAAAAAAGAAACATGAAATCAATTTTATGTACTTGTGAACTTAACGAAAAACATTCAACTCATAGAAATTTCATACTTGAATTTACTATTAGTGGCATATATGGATTAAGAAAGGAAGAAAGAAAGAAAAAGGTAAAACAAAAGAGTACAAAGTGTGATGATTTTGTTGGTTGTTTGACATTAAAGAAATTCATGTTAATCATATATGTAAAGGTGACATAAATATTTATAACCAAAACAAAATGATAGTTTCGCATTTTGACTATAAAAGTTGTCTTCTTTCTAATTTGAAGGATCAGAAATATAAGTGAGACTTAAAATTTATGTTCCTTTGCTTTTTTGTAAGTGATATTTATGAGAACGTTATTTTCACTTTTTTTTTTCATTCTTTTACTTGTTCTCTTTTTTCTATTCCAAGCATACCATTGTTTATTAAAGTTGAAAACTTAATATATGAAGATAAAATTAGATGTAGTTTAGGAGTTAGTTTCGTTGCATGTTGCCAAAAACTTGACGTCATTGAAGCAACAATTTACAGTGAAGTTTTTAAAGAACAAAACATTATTTTGTCGAATTAAGAATTCGTTATAAAAATAGTCATACAACTGATAATTATACTGAATAAAAATACGTATCTTTCCTATTTAGCATTATGTCGTGATACTTAATAAAATTATTATTTTTTAAAGGAAGTGTTTCACAATCATTTCTGAAATTTTTACCTAATTTTTTAATTAAATTTATCATATTTAAGTTAAACTAATTTTTTCTTCTTTACTATTGTTTATCATAAAGTCAAGAATAAATATGTTTTTTTTTATCAATTTAGATAATCCTGAATAAATTAGTAAATGTTACGAAAATAAAGGTGTCTAAAGAAATGCTTTTACTTCTTGCACCCTATTATTATTAAGTGCACTTTTATATAAAATAGAAAAATATTAAAATATTCTTATTTACTTGTACCTAATCATCGCTGTTCTATTGCAAATAGGTAGAAGAAGAAGAGGAGGAGAAGAGAAAGAGTTGCTGACAAAGCTTATTCTGGAAAGCTTTTTTTATAACATATTTTATGTGTATTAAAAAAATGGTTTTGGAAAAATCATTCTGAAAAATGGTTTCAGAAAGTATTATATACATTTCAGAAAACTTATTTAAGAGATCCAATTTTTTTAAAAAAAAACTTGTTGTAGAAAACATTTTATAAGTTCTAAATCCTATTCCATTAATCTTGTACCAAAAATTCAGAAATTGTATTCCGAAAATTTTAAGAAACTTGTTCTAGAAAATTTCCAAAATAAATAATCTTGAAGTCTATTTTTATGGTCACGTTGAAAATTCGGGGTGCAGAAAGAAATTGTAGGGCAAGAACAAAAGGCCCCAAAGGAGCCGCCAAGGGTGTTGCACCCTCCACCTCCACAGCCTTCTCCCTCTACCTCCCCAATTATCTTTAATTCCAATTATATCCTTAAAGTTAAAATTTTTTATTTTTATTATTTTATTATTTTAATATTTTAATATTTAAATATAAACTAATATAAATATACATTATTAAAATACATTAAAAAGATATTCAAAAATAATAAATCAAAATATTAAAATATCTAATAAAATAATAACAGAAACATAAAATTAAAAAAAGCTTAAACGGATGACATCCTTCAACGGATGTCAACATCCGTTTAAGGCGAAACGGATGTTGACATCCGTTGAAGGATGTCATCCGTTTAGGCTTCGTTTTCATTTTACGTTTTAGGGTTAAAGGATTATTGGAAAGATTATTGGAAGGGTTTAGGGTTTATGGTTTAGGATTATTGGAAGGATTATGACTACGTACCTGGAGAGGAACCACGACAAGCACATTACACCACAAACACACTGCACCGAAAGCAAGAGGAAGATTGCTTGATAATTCTTTTCACGATCACTGAGCTTTGCAGAAAAATATTTTACTCATACAAGGAACTACGTAGGTTATCAGTGAAATATGTTATAAATGAGTAAAATTAAAAAATAATAATTCTAAAAATAAAATTTTATTGAGGGGCAAAATAATAAAGGGGAGGTGGAGGGAGAAGGCTGTGGTGGTGGAGGGATCAACACCCAGCCGCCAATCTTATAATTAGGCCCAGTTCAATTGGATTTGTCAGGCCTAGATTTGAGCCGAAAATATGTTTCCACCAAACTGATCCAGACCGAAACATTTCAAGTCGGATCGCCTCCGATGATGTTCTGTTCGTGAGAGACACAGCACAGGTGATTCTGATTTCCTTCCCAAGAAGAAAACCCTTCGTTGCAGAAAAAACAAACACCATTTTGTGGATTTACCACATTTTTGTTTTTTCTCTCTCTCCCACAGATAATAAAATGCAAAAAATCGCAATTTTCCGAGCTAGAAGGTGGCTATGTAGGAGCTTCTCGGGCATTTCTTCAAACCCATTGCGGGTGTGTGTCGTTGGAAGTGGCCCTGCTGGTTTCTACACTGCGGAGAAGGTAAAACCCTAATCTTTAGGCTTTCAGTTGAAAATGAATAACTGTAACCAAATGGGTTCTTGGTAGATGTTGAAGGCGCATCAACAAGCACAAGTTGATATCGTTGACAGGTTGCCCACACCTTTTGGGTTGGTTCGCTCTGGTGTTGCACCCGATCACCCTGAAACAAAGGTCCACTCTTGTTTCTTGCACCGTTCCTTTGTTCAAAATTCACTAGCACTGGAATTTTTCATAAATGTGATTTTAGGGGGATCTTTCTTGGCTACAATGGAGTGGGGATGAAAAAGAAGTTCTTAGTTATGTTGTGCTATGGCTATTTAGATATTTTGGTGTTGTAGTAGTGAAAAAAGAAATGGAGTAAAATCCTCAGGCCACAGTAGTTCCTAAAATTAAAAAACTTTTCCGCCTAGTCCCTGATCAAACCGAATTTGTGCAATCATGTGTTCACACACAGTCAGTAGGTTGGATCTTTTGGATGAAGAATGGACAACTCAAATCTTGAACGTGTGTCAGTCCTATTTACTAAATTAATATAAGCTGTTCAATCTTTTTCCAATGGTTCCAATACGCCGATTGCATAAGTGTTTGATTCTAATCACTGCAGAAATTTGGATATGTGATGGCTATGATTTGTGAGGGATTAATTTGTCTGGTGTATGTGGACTTATATGGCTATGATTTGTGATTCTTAGGGACTAGAGTGGGGCTTTTGCTAGGAACTACTGCTCCAGCTGCCAAAATTTTCAATGATGAATTTTGATGTTTACTTGAAAAATTATTTCAAAACTTATTATTTCTATTTTTATGGTGTTGGGGACTTCACTATTTTCTTTGGTGAGAGTAACAGCATTGAGCTTAATTTACCAGAAAACTTGCAACAGATTGTCATCAACCAGTTTTCAAGGGTGGCACAACAAGAACGATGCTCATTTTTTGGTAATGTGACCCTTGGATCAAGCATTTCTCTCTCTGAATTACGCGAGCTGTATCATGTGGTGAGGCTCTGATTCTGGATGTTTTTGTCATAATGGTGACATGATATTGGTCAGTTGTACCATCTTTTCAATAATCAGTTTATGAACTTGGGCAGGTTGTCCTTGCATATGGTGCTGAAAGTGATAGAAGTCTTGGTATTCCTGGGGAGGTAATCTTGATTTTTTACTTTTGTTCCTGAATTTGCTAGAGTTTTGTGTGTTCCAACGGCATAAGCAATGTCTTAAATGTTCATTTATTATGTGATGGCTATTCTAGATGATAGTTTGAGTTACTCCTATTTCAATGATGTTTAATATTCTTCTCCCTTTCAGAATTTGAAAGGGATACATTCTGCTAGGGAGTTTGTTTGGTGGTATAATGGGCACCCAGATGGACAAAATCTTGAGCCAGACCTAAAGAGCACTGATACAGCTGTAATTCTTGGTCAGGTACCTTTACCTATCGTGTCCTACCATGCCAAAAATTTATTCATTTCTTTCTAGAAAAAAAGACAACGTAATGAATGTTTAGACTAAAGAACATACTTGTGATGTGAAAATGATTTTTCCTGAAGATATAGATATAATTTTAACTTTGATTTAAGGTTTTATTTAATTTCAGGGAAATGTTGCTTTAGATGTTGCAAGGATTTTTTTACGACCTACCACTGAGTTAGCAACAACTGATATTGCCAGTCATGCTTTGGCTACTCTAGAGGAGAGCTGTATCAGGTTTTTAGTTGCATTAGTTGAAGTAATCAGATAGTCTTATTGATACCTCGTATGTTGCCTGTCTGTAATATAAGCAATGTTGCAGGGTGGTTTATTTGGTTGGAAGACGTGGTCCAGCACAAGCAGCTTGTACTGCAAAAGAACTGCGTGAAATTCTTGGTAACTTCTGCATCAACTCTTATACACAGTTAGTTTAGCGATGTGGTTTTCTTGTACACATTTGTTTGATACTTTGATTTGGTTTTGGCTTTTTTCAATGGAACTGTTTGAGAAAGGGGTATGCCTCCGCTATACGATGTACTACCTAACACTTTAGACTTCAAAGTTTCCTTTGTAAACTTATACTTTCTTAATTTGTATCCCTAGTAATTACTTTGCTTGTCCGCTTTCTACTTTCCATTGATTTCGATGAATTCAGTCTCTTACTGATTTCTTCCAAATATTTACGAGTGATTCTTACTTAAGAGTACCTGTTTCTAGTTACTCATAGGCCTTTGATTACAAACCCTACAACCCAAGGACTAAGTCTGAAATGAATTGGAGCCCTTATCATGGCTTTTGTCTTACAATCTGACATGTTATAATTGGTTTCTTATCTTAATCTGTATTAGTTCTGATTACTTCCTACTTATTTGTTAATTGTCATATACTACGAGTAACATGCTATTTATGTCTCACACATGATGCTAACTGAAGCTTTAAGGTCTATTTTACAGGTATTCATAATGTTGATATTTTCATTCAGGAATCTGATCTACTTTTAACCCCACTGGATGAGGTATAATTAGATGAATCTACTTTTAGTTCGTCAATCACTGTTTTCAATCATCTTCACCCAAAAGCATAGAATACTAGGATTTCCTAAGTACACTATGTTTTTTTAAATTCTTGTTTTTCTTATCTAAATTAAGAATATTAATATTTGTATTTGATAATAAATAAAGGTTGATTCCTTTTCACTGATGTTATCTTATATCCGTGTTGATGCTGTCACTTGGCAAAGGAAGAACTTAAGAGTAACCGAATACAGAGAAGAGTTCACGAGTTGCTATCTAAGGCTGCTAGATCAAAACCTAAACACATAGGTTTGAATCAGCGTGAACTCCGTTTTGTCTTCTTCCGTAAGCCAAATGATTTTCAGGAGTCGAATGAGAGAGCTGGCCATGTTTCTGGCGTGCACTTTGAGAAGACAGTTCTTCAGGGTAATTTTTGTTTGTCCAAATATTTTCTTTTTTACTTTGAAGTTAGAGCTTTACAATATTGGCGACATTGTAATTTATAAAGTTTTAAATTGTCATAATTTCTTATACAACTGCAAATATGTACAGTACTGGGCTTTCCTATAATGCTTAATATAAGCCATTTTTGAAGCTTTGCTATATTCTAGTACATTTAAGTCCATAGTAGTCTATCGTGCAATGAATTACTTATGATGTCTGATTCAGTTAAGTATTGCAGGTGTTAGCCACGGAAAACAGATTGCTATTGGTACTGGAGAGTTTGAAGATATAAAATGCGGGTATCATCTCATTTACAATTACTAATTGTCATTGCTTGACATGAGATCCTTTCTGCTGGTAGCATTGTAATCAAAGATCCACATTTTTTTTTATAATCTATATATATCATAAAGAAATTGTTATTATACTCTTCAAATGACTGATTACAGCCTCTCAAGATTTTTATTCATGTATTGTTGTCACACAATGTTGAGAGTAATAGTATGGTGCAACTGGTTGGCTTTTTGTAGGATGGTACTTAAGAGCATTGGTTACAAATCAGTACCGGTTGATGGCTTACCTTTTGATCATAAGAAAGGTGAATGAGTAATTGATGCTCTCAATCAATTCAGTTCTCATCCAAATTTTTGTTAATCGATGTTACATATTCTTTGGTGTAGTAGCCACGTTTAAAACTGTGTTTGTTTAAAAATATGACTAATTCTAGAAAAATTCAGCTTGCTTTTGAAGGCGAAAACAAAAAATGTAATAGAAACATTTTCTCATACCAAACTGCCCCAAAGGGCTGGAAACAAGTGATGTAATTTTGTTGATCCTGTGGTTTCAATTGGTAAATGAAATGAAAACAATTAGCATTTACAATATTTTTTTATTCCTAGTCTTATAAGAAGTTTACACTCTCCTGAAAATAGTCTTCAGTGTATATTTTCTTGGTTTTTCATGGCATGACTTTGTTCAGTAGTATTGGTCACAGGAAATGTGACTTTAATTGATAATAGCAGGATTTCTTTCAGTAGTTGTTGGATTCCTCGTGGTCATGTCAGATTTATCCGTATCAGAGGATTTTAAATGACAAATAAAACAGTACTTGGCTTGGATGGCTTAACTCATGCTAATTGCACTATTGTGTTTCACTTGTCTAGTTTTGTTTTTGACGGGTGTTCCTAGCCAGGTGCAGTAAATGGATTGTTGCTCTTGTGTTGATGTATTTTTATTTATTTTTGTTTTTTACATTCTTCTCATTGTAGCTATAGGTTTAGGGTTTTGGCAGATTCCCAACTTTCCTGCTTTGTGTTTCCTCTCTTCTGTTTTATAAAAACATTTAGATGGAACTTTTTTCTGGCATGCCAAGAAACATGATGTGTAGATGTATGTAAACGTGTTATCTGACGGGAGCTCATAGTCGTGTATATATGATGGCTACCTTTCAGGTATAGTTCCAAATGATAGAGGTAGAGTGTTGAGTGACCCTTCAGATCCTACAGTCCCTGAAAAGGGCTTGTATGTATGTGGCTGGTTGAAGAGAGGACCAACTGGCATTATTGCCACAAACTTGTATTGTGCAGAAGAAACTGTATGTATCTCGCTTTTCTATCATTCATATTATTCCCATACCAGTTAAACTGACAGAAGTAGCAAGCCTTGTTAATTGTTACACTTGTGCAATAAATTACTAATGTAAGTTTTGTATTTTCTGCTCATTTTGACTTGATAGGTTTCGAGCATATCCGAAGACCTTGAAAAAGGAGGGTTGATTCCATCATCAGCCCTGGAAAAACCAGGCAGGGTCGGACTTCTCCAGCTTCTGCATGACAGAAATGTAAGAATAGTTTCATTCAGTGATTGGGAAAAGATAGACTCTGAAGAGAGGAGGCTTGGAAGTTTAAGGAACAAGCCTAGGGAAAAACTTGCCACTTGGGATAAACTGTATAAAGCTATCTCATAAGGAATCAATAATTTCATGATACTTCATTATTTTAAGCTTGATAAACATCTTTTCGTACCCCAAGGACAGTAAATACACGAAGAAACTATACACTTGTCGGTGAAGTCATTCTCTGTGTCTGTTGTAATGCCCTCAATCATTTCGTAAAATGGTGAAATCCCTTTGAACACAAACCATGCTAACCTGTTGATAGGTGGTAATTGTATGGTTATTGTCTTACTGGAACACTCAATTCTTTATATACGTCTGTTTACTGTGATTTAAATATCTTATTTGCATTGTACAAGTTATAATACTTGTAATAAACATAATTTATGAGAATTGGGTATTAAATATGAAGACAATCCATAACTGTTTTATTAAATTTAGAAAACAGTTCATACTAAATGTTGAGCTAATGAGCGAATAAAAAGGTGAAAAATAATGTTTTCTTCTGGTTGATAATGTGCCATAGCTAACATTTGATCTCAGAACTGAGTGGAATAAGTTAGGATTTCTTATAACTGATAATAGTTTTTTTAAAGAATATATAAAAATTGTAAAATTAAATTACTGTCTGGACCATTATAAAGGTATTGTTAGAAAGAGGAAATTTGAACTTCAAACAAACTGGAGTAGGCCATCTTCAAATGGTCTATTGCAGATTTAAATAATTGCTCTGCACACATCTTTGATTTTCTGCAACATTTGACTTCTTATGTAAGACAATAATACAAAATTTAATTTCCCTATTTAACACGTTTGAACTGCAATATGTTGATGCATTTCATGAAGCTCTCTGAAACGGGGTTTCTAGAATAGGATGTCTTACTGATACTCATATTTTTCTGATGATTCCCTCAGTAAGACTAAGAATTTAATAGGCATGTCTTCTGTAATGTGAGGTTAAATAGAAAAAGAAACATTGCTTTCAATATAGCTTATTATGTCAAACATCAGAATTTTTTAAACTAGAAAAAATGATTAATTCCACCTGCAAATCAAAATCTTCACTCTTTCCATTTTTGGTTTATTATAAAGACATTAGTTTAGTGTGGTTTGAAGGGTAGCAGCCATAGCCATTTGCTTCTGCGCATGTCATTTGTCTCAAAAGTCAAATTAGCACTTGCTACAATTTCTTTATACGTTCAACTCACTGCTCAAGTCGTCTCAAAGTCTTCCAATACAGAATGCTCAAAGTCTTCCACACTCCACAATCACATCATTATGTGTCATTCAATGCTTTTCAAATATTCTTTGGCTTTGAATGAAAAATGGCTTATAATAATGGTGGATGTTGCTTCCCAATTGAGAGTAGTAGAATTGCTGTTATACCCAAATTGGTTAAAATTGGGTCTGTGATTAACTAATGAAATATAGAAATATTTCACTTTCTGGCATCATCACGTATGACTTCTATAACTTTCTAAGCTTCAAAACTATGTGGTCGATTTAAAATTTAATTTGAACTATTTGTTAGACTACCACACTAATATGAATCAGATATCTACTGAGCTATTTTATTCAAAGTAATTTTTTTTACTAAATTAGTGACCTGCTGGGAAGACTTGAACACATGTCTATAATGCATAATTAATTGTTAGACCAAGAGTTTCATATGTAATGTGTATGTCAATTTTTACATTATATATATTTCACAAGTTTTATACAACTGCTAATATTGACTTGTTCATGCATTTTAAGTACTTGATCAAGATTTTTATCTAGCAAATATTATTTTTATCCATCAACAAGATTTTTTTTTACATTATTCTAGCTTAAATCAAACTTGTTACATGTTCAATTTCAAGACTTTTCAAAATACATTTTTAAGGTAGAGATAAAAAAAAGGAAAACAATTAACTCTGTTAACTTGGTCATAAAGCTATCTTACCCTAATTTCATACTTTGCAAAACCTAAAATATATTAGTTAGTTTAATTTAAATTAACAAAAAAAAAAGAAATCAAACTCAAGTCTCAAACTACTTTGATCGAGTTAAGTAGCGAATTAACTAAACATTGTATAGTTAGATAAAATTACTTTAATGGGTAACGATGAGTTGAATTATATATTAAAATTGATTTAATTGGAAGAGGTACTTAAGTATTATGTGCTGAAATTCATTATATTCCACCTGACCTTAACATGCGTTTCTAAATTTAGTTTAGAATCCGATTTTAAAAATGATTTTTTTAATTTTTTATTTAATTTATAATAAAAATATATTTGCTAAAAGTAAAAAGTTAAACGTGTAGAGTCTAATGAGTCAACCAGGTGTAACTAAAATTTAACGAAATAAAATAAAAGTATAAATGGAAACACGTGACTTCCATTAAAGAAAGAAAAAGTTTTCAATCAATTGTAGAAAAACATCATAACCAAAAAATTCTTATCTCTTAAACAGGTTTTCAAACACAACCTAGCAACACAGTAACTTTTTAAAATCTGAACATTTTTTTTATAATTTTAATTTTGATGAACTGCTAATTTGTTTAACTTTTTCATAAATCTTAGTTTGATTCCATTTGTTTTCGAGACAAGACCAGTGTAGAAGCTAGATCCTATGTGAGAAAATAGGTGTGTTGTGATGACTCATTTGATGTGTCGTGTGCATACGTCCCAGACTTATTGTCATTTTTCCCACTGAAGCTCTCTTTTCAGCACAACCGGTATTAGTGGATGCGATCATCTCTACGATACGTCTGCCTGTTAGGAAATAGAAAAAAGAGAGGATAAGAATTACGCTAAAAAAAGGAACTTAATTAGTTTTAAAAAATGTGATTTTATTTATTAATATTTATGTTATCTTCCAATTATTTATTACTATAATAAAAAGGAAAATGATTTATCATAAATATTTTTTAATCGGTAAATGTTATTGAGACGATAAGAAGTAGTTTGAGGATTATTACTCCTTACTATAAATATAAACATATACGGCAATATCACTTAAATAACGAAAATCGAGATAGTTTGACATATAATCATATATTTGTTTATATAATGGTTCATGTTACACATAATATGTAGCTCACAACTCATTTTCAAGATTCGGAACAACAACACAATTACAGGGTTCCTTAAATGCGATGGGTATTTAATGTAAGTTGTTTCGTGTTTTCTCTTATTTAAGGCATCCTTTTTAATTCACCAATTACTTTTTACCTTCTTTGTTTATTTTTACTATTATTTCGTACTTTAAAAATATAAATATAATCATATATTTACTTATTTATACAATTCAAAACATCAACGTCACAAAATGATTTCATTATAAATACCATCAAGTTACATTCAAATAATTTATGTAAACGTGAATATAGTGTTAATTTCAAAAATTCTTATTTAACTTAATTTTAAAGACAAAAATCATAAGTTAAAAGAAAAAAAGAACAACCAACTTTAAAGAATTCATATTTTACATAAAAGCTACAGTGGTTTCCAAAAAAAACAAACAGATTATATTATGTATTCGATATAATAGTTGAAGATATTCCTTCACCTTATATAAAGTTTTCTTTTTCTATATTACCCTCTTGTTTTTTGTTTAGACTTGTACTCTTCTAAACCACTACCACAATCCTTGATATTTTCACTTTCTTTGAACCAAAGAGGCTTAGATTCTGTTATTGTACGGTGTCACGGTACACTCCTACCGCTCTACCCGATTAATAAAGCTAAGTTAATGAAATTAAACTAAAGTTTCAAAGGAATAAAATAAACTCAGCCACCAAAATCACTGAATATATGTTCCAACACTCAGATTTTTGTTCCTAGCCTCCCTACGTACCTATGCATTTATATGCTATGCTATGCTATATATCCACCGTCCATCCAAATAACGAACCTTGATTTTATTTATATTGAAGGTAAAAGGGTGATGCTGATTTGTGATGATGAGACAGAAATGTGAGATTTACCTTGGTAAAGAACAATGTATTTATGACCCTCTTGTCACATTCTTCTCTTGCTGGCACACCATCATGATTGCACATAAATTACTGTTGTAGGGGAAAAAATAGGTCATGGGTGAAATTCCAATCTCCTGATTTCACGCTACAATACAAGAGTAGTGGTGAATGGTGTGATAAATTCATGGTAGTACTACATGGAGTGAATAATTCATGTTTGATACAAAGGGCCCCTTGCTAGTTGGAATATATTACTACCTGCAGGCTTTTCGAATTATATCTCAAAATTCATCTGTGCTAGGTGACAAGATTATAAGGACGTTGATATGATATGACCCTCCTCTCTTGTAAAAGGATGAATAGGAATTCCATTTAGCACAAATAAGACCTTTGGATTTTGAACGTCTTCAACACTTGTGTGCGTTATAGGTGCATAGTCTTTTTATTATGGCTGTACATCCATGCGCAATGAAGCCCCAGCCACTCCATACACGTCAAAGAACACACGCCTTTGCATGATGGGACTTTCTTACTTTTGCGTATTATTAACATTCTTCTAACAGCACCCGTTTTAAGATGTTACTGACAACATTTTTCATTCACGAACCAATGATGAAAACTTTGGATGTGATCTGATTGACGTGGAATCAAGATGCTTCACTCTAGAGATTACCATTGCATTTTTACAGCCACAGTGGTAATTAAATTATATATATTGTGATAATGCAGATATGATATATTCAACCCCACTCATATGCACACACATGTATGACTTTTTAAAATTTTTCTTGTTACTTATTTGAGTAAGGAGCATCTTAGGAAGCAATTGAAATTGTGGGGCCTGGTTTCTCTGATCTGGTGCATCAAATGTGCAGAGAGTGGCATTGTTCATACAGGAATATGATTGTCCATTTAGGACTATAAAATTGAAAAAAGGTAGGTTGGGACTCCACTTGTGTTTTATCAAATCCTTGATGGGGTCAAGAGAGTGTTATTTTGAAGATTCATGCTGTCTTTTACCCTTTACTACAAAGTCTTTGTTCGATTATGACAACCATTTCATACTTTTCAGTTAAACTTTATTCAATTCCCTCTTTGGGAGCTGTAGTTTTTCTCAAGCTTTTTTGCTGTTTGTTGTTCTTCTTGGCAGTTCTATTACTGATAATAAACAAAGCAAAACAAAACTTGAAATTTCACAGACTATCCAACTGGGAGTAACAGTCAAACTAAATCACTGTCTTTGAAAAAGATATAATGGGTGAGTTTTTTTCTTGTTGTTTATTACAATTGGTAGGTGCATTATTTATGGATAAATAGATAATTAAATAAA